TGAGCAGGAAGAGCTGCAAGGCCTCATCCAGCTTAGCGCGTCGTTCTTGCGCCAAATCCTTCAGTCCGGCATATAGCTTGTCCAGTTGCGACTGTGTAACAGCGATCTGCTCGGCCAAAGGATGTTCTTCAGCCGACAGGGCCTTTACAGTTTCACCCAGTTCTCTGATGGTGTCCGCATAAGCTCCAACGGCCGCTTCAAGACTTTCGTGCTTCTTCTCACACTTCTTCACAACTTCACAAACAATAACAAAAACACACGAAAACTCGCTCTTCAGACTCGCGGGGTTTAACCTCTTATGCACCCGTTCGCTCCTGTCACTTTACTTTTCCGTCTGGTTCTCGTCGTCGCTTATATAGTTTCCTCCAGGTAACCCACATAGTTCTCGAAATCTCCAGAACAGGTGCGAAACTTGCCGCTTGTCAGTGTCATATTTGACAGTAAATGGGGCCCAAATGGGGCTCCCATTTACTGAAATACCATGAATTTCGACCCCCCACTTCAAACGTGAGCACACCAGGCCATTTCCGTTACAATATCTTTATGACCGACTTCCCAACATCAAGATGAACAGAGTGCTAGATCAAGGTAGAGGATGTACGGGTGTGGGACTGGAAAATTAAGTTTACCCTAGGCGTTGCGCGAAGGCACAAGCCATTGTTTTCACCAATGCGAGAAACCAATTCAGCAACCTACCAGGAGGCGTACAAGAGCTTCCGGGACAGGGGCTACTATGGAAGTCCACGATAACCCATCTTGGACTAATGTGTCTGTTTGTGTGGAGAGATACATACTCYATGCCGACTGTCCTCTGCTGAATAGTAACCTCTTCCTGCGAACCAAGCTTAGAGCTTACAAAGTTAATACGCCCGGTGCTGACCTATGGATCTACTGCATGGTTCCCGGCCAGCGCCTCGCAGAAGCAAAAACTGGCAGTTTACTGGAAGTTGGAGCCTATGCTGAGGATAGTAGCATAGGCTCCATACTTTGTCAGCAATACCACCCTACAAAGAGACCTACTCACAGGAGACCTACTGGACGACATCCAGAACTTATCATGGGAGTTCCTTGATAGGAGCCGGCAAAGCAAGAATCCCACTGTCAGGGTTTCATGCACAAAGAAGTACAACCGCCAACAATGTACGAAGAAGACGTGATCCACATGCAATGACTAGTTCCTGCACCAGATCGAGGACCAGGGACTAGATTTAAGGTAGTCTAGGAAGCAAGAGAGAATGTATTAAGTTAACTTAATTAATTAAGTGAATGCATGTCCTTTTACCCAAATCATGTAAGTTTTAAGGACCCGTAGATTAAGTAAACGTAGGAAGGTTGTAAGGCCTTGTCAAGTAATAAATATGTTTACAAGCAAATTTTCAGGTTATAGGTATAGAGCATTTCAAATATCAACTTGTTTTACAAAGAAAAAAATAATGAACTTATATTATACAAGGTGGTTCTTTCTATCTTGAAACATGTAAATATTTCGGAAACGAGTGATCCAAGGAAAAAATGTTTCAGATAAGAAGTTAAAATTAGGGAGGGGGAAGTTTATTTGTGTCGCAAAAAAGCGCCTATTTCGTTCTTGTGGGCTAAGCACGGGGTAACTTGAGAATTTCAAATGGTTACCACAACATTTTACTGGAGATTCGAATAATTCGTCAAAAAGTAAGAATTATTTATATAAAACACTTTCTCCGATTTTGACAGCGGGCGCAGCGACCCATTCATTATCAATTTGTTTGCTTTAGATCCGCTGAACTATATATTATTTTATTGAAACGCAGAAAATTTTGAGTGTGGCGAATGGCATTTATTAATGCCAAAGGAATATTCGGTCTGAAAATTGTTTGATGAATAAAATCAAATATGTACCTCCAAATCAACAAATTATTCTTACTTTTTGACGTACTACTCGAATATCCAGTATAATGTTCTGGTTACCATATGAAATTCTCAAGTTGGCTTCTGCTTACCCTACCAGGTAGAAGTAGGCGTTGTTTTAAACCGACACGAGTAAATACCCCCTACCATATATTGCTTGTTATTTTAAAAACAAATTTTTTAAAGATTACTCGTATCCGAGATATTTAAGCGTTTTAACATAAAAAAAACCACTCTGTGTGTCGATTTGACAGGAAACGATTTATTTACCAAACATCAATTCAGGTTCCCAATAATATGGTTTAAAGTGCTCTGATGGTCAAAAAAGGTTGACTAAACAAACTTTTCTTTAACAACAACATTTATGTCAGTTTTATGCAGATTGGCATAAGTTTGAAATAATTATGGTAAACGTTATACCGACTAGCTATAGCTTCCCTTTATCTTAGATTAACACACTATTTCTGTCTTTGGATAAACCGCTTTTATCTGCTGTTTATTTCCAGCTAAGCTAGGCCATTTCGAGCAGGGCCATCCCGCTGTCCTGTTTTTTCCCAACTAGTGCGCAAGGGCGGATCCAGGGGGTCATGGGGATGATGACCCCCCTTTGTGCTGAAGGTGGGTCCTGTGCATTTACTCAATAATGTTGTTAGGCCTAAAAATAATTTTTAATTCTCTATCTAACGATGCCAAAGCGAATTATATGGCTCAAATGTTCCTTGAGAAACTTCAAAAAAGCAGCGTCATGTTGAGTTAAATTGTATATCCAACGGTCGCATCGCATTGCCAAAACGAATTATGTGGTGGCTCAAATGGTGGCTACCAAACTTTCAAAAAAGCAGCGTCATGTTTGAGTCGATTTTGCAACTCAAAAAAACCACGCAAATCTAAAAGTTCTTCAAATAAACACTTTTTTGACAAAACTGCCGATATTTTCGTATCGACGGTTCACTTTCTAAAAACGCCATTAAGTTCTCCCTTCTTCGAAAAATTAGCAAAACCAGACCGAAAATAAAAAATGTTGGCTAAATCTTGCCGCTAATGTCTGAAATTTAAATTTCGCTTTCTGGATCAGAACTAACGGAATTTCCTCACACATGACTGAATCGAATTTTAAATTATCTGTCCAACGATACCTAAGTCATGTCATCATGGTTGTCTTGAGTTTTAGCCCTTTGTGCGGGCTTTATGTTGCCTATCAATTATTTTTATAATTTCATAGGCAACAAAAACCGAATTTCTACTACATGACCCCTGCTGACTGTAAAGCTGGATCCGCCCCTGCTAGTGAGCCAACGAAGTTCAAGCAAATAGGGACATATTTTCTATCACTTTGTGCCTCGTCTCCGTAAGAGCTTTAAGAAAATTGGATTTAACTAGTACGGTCGAAGTCTTGCAAATAAATCGCCTAATATGAGTAAGCGATTAAACTTAATTA